AAAGCTTATCTTTAAAATATGTAGATTTGTGAAAATACTAATGATCATCCCAAATCACTCCAGGCATTTCTGAGGCCAGACTGTATGATCAGAGGCCAGAAGTTTGGAGTGATCATCCTAGGCCGGAAGTTCGAAGATAGGAATTGAAGTTAGTTGGTATTATTGTATGACCGAAGGAAGAAAAAATATGTAAATAATATTAAGTTTTCTTAGCTGGAATTCCCAGATCTCGCTAAGAGTACTTAACCATATAATTTGATGATCTCGTCTATATCTGCTTCGGACGAATTATCTTTTTTATCATTCTGTAACCTTGATAACGTTTGATAGCGTGAAATTTCTAGACCAACTATCCTATACCATGTATTTCACAAATCAATTAGTAAATCATATCCATTTTCCAGATTATATGATAACATATATCTTTCTAAAGACATGGCTTTCAATCTGTGCTTACTGACCTTAGTAACTAATTTATACATTCCATCTCTACAGCCAACATCAATCTTAGAAATTTCTGTGAGTAATGTTGTTAGCTTTAAGTGGATGGATTCTTCTTGCTTATCTAGCGTATTGAAGAAGGATTGGTAATAATTATTGTTTGTCAGGTGTTCTCTCTTGTTAGCATAAGTAGTATCAAATAATTTTTTCGCGTAAATACAGGCTCCTTTTCATAGATTAGATATGATAGCTTCATCTTTTTTCGGGCCTTTATGAAGGTTTTTGATATAACCTCTAACCCACTTTTCAGCTGATTTCTGTGCTAAGGAATCTCTTATTTTTGATACTTCATCTTCATCTATTTCGTCTTCATCCTCTTCGTTTTTATTCAGGTCATCTTCATTCGCGTTATCCTCTTCATTGTCGCCCACTTTATTACCATCTTTTAACTTTTTTAAGGCCTCCAGCACAATTTCAGATGATGACTGGAATATTTCATTATAGTTAATAAATCATGCACAAAGGCCGACAACGGTTTTCAGATAATAGCTAATATCGATCTTTTTACCTAATCGCTATACTACTTCTGAATACTCCATTTTATTCCCACCTTCTGTGAAGAATCATTTTCAACTACAATATACTCAAAACGCTCACCTGGTTCTGGAATTTCATAAAGATAAGGCTCAGGTGTTAGGCCCTTTTTTATGCGTTATTTAGCGTCCGCTTCTTCACGGGTGTGTCTATCCCGCATTTGTGAAATGAAACGCTGGACACTCTTGTTATTTTTATCAGGCCTCCATACAGCAGTTTTAACCACTTCATTAAGATCTATCTGTGAAATACCATTTATGGTCTCTTTGAACACGTCCTCCACAATCCGATGCAAGATGCGAGTATTATCCAGCCTCATAGATTCATCCATGACCTTCTTACTCACCTCACGAAAGTATTTAGACTATCCTCGCTTTACAATTTCAACCCCTCAAATGAAAAGCTTATTATTAAAGTTGGGTTCTCTTCTATGTGGGATACCGTAGTATTTTTTCTTTCCAGTGGAAATAAGACTTCCTCATACGCCATTTTGAGATAAGATGATCCATTATTATTTCTGAGAAAGTTATTAACTTCATCACGAAGTCTTTCAATTACTTCTATAGAGATGTTCACCATTCTAGACCAATATTCTTCATTCGAGATCCCATTACAATTGTCATATGCCTCATCACATTTCTGAAAACATTCTTCTGAACATGCAAGGTATAAGCAATCTGTATCCCCGTATTTTACACTAAACCTTTTACTTCTGACAAGATCGGCAATAAGCTTAATATTTCGCTGACCAGCTGATATTACCCCAACTGCTAATGCTCGTAAGAAGAAAGGGAACCTGCTATTTCCGGCTTCACCGTAAAATGTATTCATATACACTTTTAAAGCGAATAATTTTGCATCTAGACAAGCTCAATAAAGAAACTGAAGAGTATTCAGATTTTAAAGCATCTGTAACGTTCTCGCCCCTTGCTTCTGCCAATTTAATTTCTTTTTCTAATTCTTCTTTTCTATCATTTAATGGAGCAAGACGTCTTTTTAGAGAATTTCGTTTAATAAGCAACTCCTCTAATACTTTTGGATAAAGGCCTTTCATTTCAGCTTGGTTTTCATGCTCTATAGACCATACGAGAACATCCTGACCATTATATTTGAAATTGATTTCATGAAGCCTTTTACCACTTTCCTTTAAAGATTCAGCACGCTCTCAAGATAAAATAATTTTATCAGGTGAGAGATTATATGTCATGATAAGGCTTGGATACAATGATGTAAAGTCTAAGCCAGTTACAGATCGTCTATTTTCGAGACCCTTTACCAGTGGGAAAACATAGGCTCCAGGGTATTTTCCTGTTTCCGTTTGTTCACATGGAATTGTACTGGTTAAAATTCCTTTCTGCTACGCACTGGCATTTAAAGATTATGCACTTTCATTCCTATTGCAAAATAATGCATATCGAATAATGATATAAATGCTATACTTGCAACCTTCCTATATTCATTGATTACATTACGCTTAACCATTAACCGCTAACAGCTAAGAGCATCTATAATGCAGTATTTGGCTACTTCACGCATCTGCTCAACCGTTGTGACATTAGTTTCTTTTAATGCCCTTTCATAATATTTGTTCATGTGATGAATAGATAAATCTACTTTGTTGTCAAGATTACACTCCCTTAAGTAATATCAGAGACTACTTTTTTCGGCTTTAGGGTTGAATTTCTTAAAACAGGGTTGGACATCAATATCCACGTATCCAGGAATTTTAAGATGTCTCGAATAGAAGTTCCCATCATTTACTTTTATCATGTTATATTGATATTGCCATTTTGTAATCTTTTCGAGGCTCATAGGTTTTAGTGACATATGATTAAACATCCATTTGAGAACGCCTAACTTTTTCGCCTTCTTCACAATAAATAGCCAGTCATATTGTGAATCATTAAAACCTATATGTATATCTGGAGCTAAATATTTCCAACATAATGCAAATGCTTTCAGTAAATTGGTTTGGTTCCTACATACAACTGTGATCAAGCATGAGTCTGGCGCAGTTTTAACATTAACAAGACATATTTGTTTTAACGGTTTGGGATCATCTTTTTAATGAACAGTCATACAAATCATGAACACAACGTCTTCTTCATATTTTGCATTAGGTATCTCACCTGTTTTTCGTGAGCTATATGTCTCGATATCCCACGTAAGAACAAGAGTACGATCCTGTGAAAGCGCTGAGGAAAATAATGGATTATTATAATCGTCTTCACTGATTGGATTGTAATTGTTCACCGATACTTGG